GCTCACACTGAGCCTGGTTCTGCTGGAGGTTTCTTCCTGTTAAAAGGGAGTTTTTCCTCTCCACTGTCGCTACATGCGTGCTTAGTGTGAGGGATTGCATTTGAGTTGATGAGTAGATGCACTCAACTGGTTTTCCTTAGATAGAAACTTTGAATCAATCTGACTGGATGATTTGGTTGAATTGTGAAGTGCCTTAAGATGACGTGTGTTGTGAATTGGTGCTATAGAAATAAACTGAATTGAATTGTCGTCTAATTTTATCCAATTATGACCCAATCACTGGTAGTAAACCAGTAAGAACAGCTGCTTATACTGTCTGACATTTAAATAACATTAATGATGTCAGCAGCTGGTTGACTGAACTGTTTCTGGTTCTGATCAGATCATCAGACTGTGAGCCCAGAGGAACCTCCAGCTGTCAGAGGGACTCACTGCGCATGTTTACTCTCAGAATGGGGAAGTCCACTTCCGGGTGAGTATTCGCTCTATAAAACCACAATAAATCAATAGAACATTTCACAGAACCTTAGTGGTTTGGACTCATCCACCTGGGCTCAGTTTACTGCGGCTCCGTTGGTTAAACGGGTCAGAGCAGAACCAGCGGCCCCCCACCTGGACCAGCTGCCCCCCCTCGGCCTCACTCAGGTGATGGTCACATAGCACCACAACCTCAGCTGACGTGTCCTCTCTTACCGCGGTCTGTGTGGCGCTCTGTCCGCCTTCAGATGCTCCTCGGCCGGTCACCGAGCTCCCAGCGCCGCGCTGTGCGGATGTTCCACCGTGTTTACCGAGACAAGCTTCCTATCTCCCGGAGGACATCAGCGGAGCAGCATCCCGGTTGCCCTGGCCAGGACAGGGCGATGACGTCTGAAGCGCAGAAAAAACAGCTTCTTCTTCTTTGGTATTCGGCCGCGGAGGCTCGTCTGGGCTCATTGCTGCCATCTGGTGGTAAAGAGAGTTTACAGCAACATAGAAACGTTAGGCCCTATATACCTGTAACAATAATAATAATGTAACAATAATAATAATACTAGAACACGGTTATTATTATTATGAATAAGAGTAATAATAATAATCATAATACAAAATAAAATGATTATTGTACATTAAATAATAAAAAATAAATGAACTTCCATTCTACCCATCCTAGTCCTATTTATAGTAACCTTTGTTTTCTGTATTTTGTGGCCATCAGAATCTCACACTCTTTGTTCTCAATAAACAAACTTCATTCAAAAATCTTAAACAATAACCTGAAATTGTTTCAATAATTAAATAAAACTTGTTATAAGATAATTCAACTTATTGAGAAGATGGATGCAGTTAAATATTTCAAGGTTTAGACAAGAGGATAGTCTTTAATGTTGAATTGAAACTTATGGAAAGTAATAAAGCTTTTTTTTTTATCCATCAAGCAAAGTGTTTTGCTTAGTTAACAACTGTTAGTTGTGTCCTTATTGTTTTTTCCATTTAGGGGCTGGAGGGTTTTGTCTTTTGATCATTGAGAAAATATGAGACGCATCATGGCTCCCTACAGATATATACGACTATGATTTTTTTTTTATTTTAAGGATCTGCCGCCTGCAAATATGACTCCCTAAAATGCACCAAGTAAATCCCAAACAGTCTCAATAGGAACATGCACTCAAACCCTAGTTCTGTCTAAATGTTCTGTCCTTTCGGATTGGCATAATGACGAACAGAAAATTATTATTTCCATTGAGACTGATTAAGTTATCTGTAATAAAAATGTCATGAAAGACCAGTGGGTCAAACTTTTCCTCCTGGATTTGGTCACAAGATGCTGTGCAGTCTCACGTAAGTTACATTCAGGCAGAGTTTTGTTAAGATTAGCTGGATTATCAGGAGCTTCAATCCCAGTGAGACCAGATACTGATGTTCATCTGTGGGATCATCTGGATGCAATAATCCTCGTTGCATCTTCCAGGATTGGATCTAATGGCTTGAAGCCGATGGCTTGAAGAGTGACACCATTTAAGCTTTTAAAGCTCCAGAAAATTTGAACCGGGAGAATTTAGTGCCAAATTTTTTAGCAATGCTGCTGTGATGTTTTACCTCTGAAAAACTGCTGATATTAATAACATTTACTCATTTTTAGTAAGTCACTCACACATGGTTGGTGGTTTAATACTGACAAGACCAGTTCAGGATCAGAATAATTTGTTAAAATGGATTTTTAAAAGAAAATCAGTTTCTGAAATAAGTTACAATAATACATTCTCAGTCATTCTGTTTTCATTTAATTCCAATAAATCCAGTCTCACTGATTGCACATATGTCAACAGTTATTTAATTGGTTAAAACTGCGATCAAGTGACCTCAATAGAAAATTTAAATGTATTTTGTCTGATGTGATAATTCAACAGTCAGAACGAACGATTTCAAAGTTCCCAGAAAGAAAAAAATGAACCCAATGAAGTTTGTTTTTCTAATTGTAAATTAAATTAGAAATGTTGAAGAAAACTACAGAAAAATCATTTAATCATCCCCACACTAAGCTAACAGGGATCAAAAGTTACCCAGTATTTCTTTAAATCATGTTAAAATGGTCTTTAGTTTAATTACATTTCAAATTGAACAAGACAAGTTTTAGATTTCTTTTCTAAAATTTTCATTTTTACTAAAATGTTTTTAAATTTTTGACCGTGAAGAAAACCTTCTTAATTCTTCGTTAAATTTGTGAAGATCCGAAGGAAGAGACGTCAGACCAGTTCTGTCGCACTCACAGGAGTACGTGTCATTCATGCTTAGGAGGAGAGAATGTTTATATGAACATGTGGTTCTGAGGACAGGAACCTG